CCACGCGGGAATCCTAGGTGCTGCAGTTCTGTTTTTGTTTTCTTTTTCTCCTATTTCTTTTGCTGGCCGTTTTTGGCCAATTTAATTCCTGCAATTTGCTTCTATTTTCACCGCTTTCGATCTGCTAGCTGTGATGATCTGCCCCGATCTTCCCTGGCGAGATGGGGTTCAGGGTCCAAGCTGAGCCTCCGTCTTCTTGGTGGCCTCGGAGCGGTGCACGGATCGTCCTGACGCTCGCATCCCACCATCCGGCATCAGCTCCCCCTCAGCTCGGTAGAAATCATGCCGCCCACGCCGTTCGCACCGAGCCATGCGACGCCGTTCAAGTCGACGCTCTCGTCCTCGCAGCAGCCCCATACCAACCACTCGCCACTTGCACCGCAGGCTGAACGAACCATCTCGGTGGCCGACATCGATCCTACGCACTGGAGGTACCATGCGGAAGGCGGCAAGAATCTGCTGCTCTCCTACGATCCCCCTGCGGGTATTGAGGGGTCGCCATTCGTGACGGCACAGGGAGCGTATGCGCTGCGCATCCCCAAGTCGCTGCCGCCCGGCTCGGAGGAGGTGCAAGACGACGTCGACGAGGCCGAGCGCTTCACGCGGCACGTCGTGCAGCCGCTCCTCGGCGATTCGGAGGTGCTTCCACATTGCATCCGCATTCCCATCGACACAGACCGCGATCGATCCGTCATCGATACGCTCGCAGCGGCCATCGAGATCCACCGCCCTGCTGCACGCCGCACGGACCCGGCGCGCATTCGCGCCGAATCGCTGCGTTGCATCTACGCCGTGCAGGACATCACTGCGCGGGCTGCTTCTGTGAGCGGAGGCGATGTGTTGTGCGTAGAGATCAAGCCCAAGTGGGGTTTCCTCCCTCGCATCGACGCCATCCCACCAACGTCGCCCAATGTCGACATCAAGACCCGCTACTCGCGCTTCCGAATGCACGCCGTAGCACGCAATCCCGCAATCACTCGAGAACAATTCGATGCGCTGTACGACCCGCTAGATCTGTACAGCGACGATCCGGCGCGCGTGCGCAGGGCGCTCGACGCGCTCTGGACAGACTGGATCACGACGAATGGCAAGACCAACAATCTGCGCGTCTTCTGCAACGGCGCACTGGTGCTGCCAGACGACGCGTGCGCGCTTGCCGATGTTGCTGCGACCCTCAGCGCTTCTGCGGCGGAAGAAGATGTGCAGATGCTGCGAACCAATGTATGGACGCACTTGGTGGGGCAGGTTCAGGGCGAGCTTTTGCGGCGCTCGTTGGTGCACGATGGCACGGACGTATCTGTGCTGCATCGGCTGAAGCACTTGCAAGCCGCGCTGGATCCTTGGGACGTCGAAGGTCTCGCACACGCCTGGACCGAGCATACCGGCTCCCACGTGCTCGGCCAGCTTCCCGACGATACTGCCGATAATCTCACGCCAGCGGCCGCAGAGCTTCTGCCGCTTGTGCAGCCCCTGCTCGATGGCGCGCAAGCATCAAGTGTACAGCAGGCAGTGCAGGCGTTTCTCGTCTCGGCCAGCTTCAAGGACTGCTCGTTGCTGCTGCGCTTCCCACGCGACCATGGGGCGTCTACATGGCTTGTCGACTTGGACCGCAAACCGGCCAGCAAGCTCGCAAAGATGCAAGAGACGGATGCCCAAGTATGCTCTGCCTTCCAGTCCTGGCTTGCGACACAGTCACGTGCACCCACGCCATCGATGGTGTAGCAAGTTTTTGCGACAGAAATGAATGCATTGGTCAGATGGTTCGGGCGTTTGGACGGGGTTGTTGCAAGTACGCCTGTTTGTCCTTCTCGAACGCTTCCTCCGAGGTACTGTACCCGATATCCGTCCGTCAGCTTTTTTGGATCGTCAATTGTGAAGGGAGGTGATGGACTTACTAGACACGAAGACAATCGCTGAGGTTGTTTCGCTGGTCACGGCATGCCCAGAGCATCGAGATGGTTCGGGTCTGGGTGCATTGTGCAAACGCCTCCATCTGTGCACGACACTCGGTGAGAGCTTTGGCTTTCGCCTGCTTCCGAAGCGTATCCTCCTCCCGATTCGAGATGATCGGCTGCGGCCCGCTCGGCGTCGATGCTGCGCTCATCGTGTCGTATGTTCCAACGTGCAAAGTGGTTTGCCGTTGCAGTTGCAAGATGGCGGCCAGAAGGTTGGGGACCACTAAACCTTGCGACTTCCTCCACTTTTGCCTAAGCAACCCCCCCTCCCCCGACACAGTGCACCACCTAACATCTCCTGATCTAACAAATTTACCATCTCGCCAAACCCAATCCTCTTCGATCATGCAACACTCCGCTTCAAACAATCAACCTCACATGACTTTCATTCGCACCCAAAGCTGTAGAGTCGAATCCCTGAAATCATTGCATTTTCAGACAACAGGTGATGGGTTGGGGCGGTGATAAGGGGGGGGGGGG